ACCACAATTAGTTGATAAAGAATCTATTGCTGAACACACCACAGACCTTGGGTGCAAGATACAGAGAAACCAAACTGCAACTGGGCTGTAGGCTTCTTGCCTGCTGACCAGCTTTCCTAGTGCCAGTGAATGCAACGCCAGCTGCTGGGAAAGAAAAGGCATCAATAACCAGCAGTACCCAGATGACCTAGGAACTACAATACCAACTGGCTAAGCAAGGTGCGCTCATGGCTGCAACTGTTATGGGAAAAACCAAGCACTCTTGATTGGTTTCCAGGCTGCTTACCAAGAGGGAATCCATGTCTGGTACCGTAAACCCAGTTAAAACCCATGGCTGAGGGGGTTTTACAAGCATGGAGGAAACTTAGCTAAATTGACAGTATCAAGTTACCTTCTAAATATTTATATCTCAGACAAATGCTCCTCTGGTTCCTAATCAGAGAAATATCTCTTATAATCAACATTTTTGAATGCAGAGATGTACGGCTGTTCAAGACACTGAGAATAAGTGAGAGTAAAGTGCACCACAGTAAATGTGAGTCATACCACCCCCTTTAAGACTGGCTAAAGGGAGCAGGAAAAAAAAATGTAAAAGCCCAACTACAACAAGAAATGCTATGAAACACTGCACTGTGAGAATGACTCAAACAAGGCAATCATGACCTCACGTCAAAATGGACTTCATTATTCCCTTTCCAATCTATTCTAAAGAATAACGGATGTTTGTGATATGCATTAGATAGAGTGATAACAGAACAAATTAAAACATGAATTGCCTCAATCAGAGAAAATGAAAAAATAAAATGCAATTCTTAAAACTAACCCAGAAAAAAAAAAAAACCATACAAGAGCTATTAAGGGAGAAAAATATATTTTAAAAACAATGTATACAGTAGGATCACATTTACATGATATAAATAAATATTATACACACACACATACACGAATATGTGCTTAGGATGTTTCATCAAAATAATAACAGTGACTGAAAACAGGCAGTGAAGTTTAGAGGTGCTTATATTTTTTACTGCTATATATTAAAATCTACAAGAGGTGACAAAGTAGTTTTCCATATTTCTAGAGGAGAAAAGCTGTTTTATATATAATACACACGTTAAATGTGAACAAATTTAAATACACCCGACAGGCCTACAGCGATTACATACACATACAGAAGGACATTTAAAGAATAAAGAAATGTGACTAAAACAGAATGCAAGATGAGTCAGTAAAGATAACAATAGCAGCAGTAGACAAGTGTAAGTACCAGAGTAAACACGAGGAGCACGGTACAGGTTAATGGCTGTAATGTCTTGCATCTGACTAACAGAAGGTCTTTAAATAGCCACAGTTTTAAAAATGAAGTCACTTAGATAATGTTTGCAGAAAGCAATGGAGGTTTACCTGGTTGGAAAGAAAGGGTATTTCTGGAGAATATGATGCTTCAAACCAGTTGCTGCTGCACCATCAAGGGGGTGTGATAAAGAGCCTCAGATCTGCCAAGGAAAGCTGCATATAGGCAGTGCAAGCCTTTCACAAGAAAATCATACATTATAAGCTAGGGGGGCAAAGCCATTTAAGCGCTTTAAAACTAAAGTCCCTGACACCAGACACGGGGCTACAGCACTTGGTATTTGCCCTGCTGTGTTTTGGTCTTGCTTTGATCCCGTATTTCCTCATTATGCCTCCCTTCATCCCTTTTGAAACATTAATGTATATTTTGTGTTGTTGTTTACTGGAAGTATGCAATTCACTTTTTTATTTTATAGGACGTTACATTTAAGAGATTATCCTGAGTCTCAGAAGAGACTTTAGCTTTTTGACAGTATTGAGACTGTAAAGGACTATGGGGATTTTTAAGGTTGTATTAAATGCACTTTGTATTATGATATGGTCATAAGCCTGTGCAGGCCAGGGAGTAAAATGTCAGCTCAGCTATTTGAACATTATGTCACAAGTTGTTGGCATTTTGGGAGGTTAGAGGAAGAGACACCCTTTCCGGAAGAAGTCCATCACTTGGGTGGGCTTTGAGAGTTCATATCCTGGCCCTATTTCTAGTTTTCTCTCTCTGCTTCCTTTTGTGATTTAAGATGTGATCTCTCAATTTCCTGCTCCTAGCACTGTGCCTGCCTCTTGCTGCCGTGACTCCCTGCCATGATGGATTTTTATCCCAATGGAATCATAACAACAACAACCAAAAAAATGAGCCTGTGAGAAAACTGCATCTCATCAACACCCACTTGTGCTCAACACATGTTATGGAAGCTGCCATGGAAACCAAAAACAGCCAGAAAAGGACAACCACGTTACAAAATGGCAATTATAAGGAGAGAAATTAGAAATATTTGGTCTCTAAAGGGAAGAGAAGGAAAATATTTTCCAGAAATTTTCAATCATAAGTGCTACTGATAGGAAAAATATTGGCACTGTTTGATCAAACTAATATGGCTGAAGTTTAAAGGTAAACCCAAGGGGAAAATTTAAATGGTGGAATAGATAAAACTTATAAGACACATTACACTAGTGTATCTAAAATAAAATCTAGAATTCTTTCCAAGCTCCATACATTTCCATATTTTGGGTTCCTGCCCACCCTCTCAGTTCTCCTCTCCTCCAGGCTAATATACCTCTGCACTCACTCTCCAGAATGGAATATTCTAGATCCACCTGAGATCTTTTCCATTATGAAAATCTCAGTTTGAAAACCACATCTCTATGAGGACCTTCCTTGACTGCATGTCATTAGGTCGCAGCCTCAAACTGGTTCTTTCTATTTCCTCTTTCTCTCTCTGTGTGTGTGTGTGTGTGTGTGTGTGTGTGTGTGTGTGTGTGTGGTGTGTCGCAGCCTCAAACTGGTTCTATTTCCTCTCTCTCTCTCTCTCTGTGTGTGTGTGTGTGTGTGTGTGTGTGTGTAGGCAGGATCTCACTTTTTAACTCCAGCCGGCCGGGAACTCATTGTTTGTGTATATGTGTGTGTGTATGGGTACACAAGAACAAATAGCCATGTGTGTGTAGAGGACAGAAGCTATCTTTGGGTGTCCCTCCTCAGGTACAACCCACCTTTTAGAGGTTAACTTTTACACTTGTTTATGATGGTTGTGTGTATACAGACTGCAAGTGTAGAAGTCAGGACAACTTACGGAAGCTGGCTCTCTCCGTCCAGGGAGTGGGTCCCAAGGATTGAAGTCGGGTTTCTTACTCCTTATTTGTTTCTAGGGACAGGCCTGGAACTTACCAAGGAGGGTAGGCTGGCTAAGCAGTGATGCAGCTGTCTCTGCCCCTCCAGTGTTCGGACTACAAGTACTTGCCACCAAGCCTAGCTTTTTTTCATGTGCATTTTGAGGACTGGACACAGGTCCTTATGCTTTCAAGACAAGCACTTCACCAACTGAGCCAACACCCAATCCCAGCGATATAACTAAATCAGAGTGACGAGAAGTCCATACCAGGAGAGCGAACAACCTCCATCCTCCACGGAGACCATTAGCCTTTGTCACATACATCTATCTGCCTGTGCCTAGACTGCACACACAGAGAGAAGGGACCTCTAGCTCCCTGACCTTTCTAAACATCTCACTGTTTCTCAGAATGGACTGACAGCAAATGATACACGAGAAATATCTAGATGTGAGGTGGGAGGGGTAAACCCTAAAATTTTTACTTAACTGTTTCACGAGTCACAGTAAGAAACGTACTTTACATATTAATCAGTATACACACCATACACACATATACACATGCTAGTTGCATACCACAGATGGATATGGAAGCAAGTGGAATAGAGAGCAAAAGATGATCACTGCCTTAAAGTAGAAATACAGGCTACAGACGGATAAAAGCACTGATTATTTGGGATCCAATACAGAACACATTGCCAATTAGCAACTGTCCAGTGCCTAGGAAGGAGAAAAGAGGAGGAAGAGAGACGGGTTTGTGAAGTAAAGGTTTGAAAAGGTCTCCACACAACTAAGGACCAGCTTAGATAACTAAAAGGACTGCTGAACAGCAATGAGAAAACGTGCTACACGGGAATGTCTCTTACTACGTCTTATTTACATACTAGCTATACCCCTCCTGAAGGCAACATTTTGCCATGGCCGGTCGACCACGCTCACGTGCTGAGAAGACTTAAGATGGGTTAACTAGAACTCTATGTGCTGGAGCAGTGGGAGAGTTAAAATCATCTACAGGTTTCCTTAAAATGCAAATTATCAAGCCCAGTTCCTACTCACACAATTTAAGGCGGTGCTGGTGAATTCTAGAAGCTCTCCAAACAACCCTGAAAGACATACCTGCTAAAGCACTGCCTGTACTTAACGGTCCTGGGAGGAGATGCAAGGCAGAACTCCACCGCTTGGGAGATCAGACCCCAGTATTTAAGAAGATTCAGATCCAGGTTAGTGCTGAGACTTCAGCACGTCGATATGAGGCTGCAAGCTTGAAAAATGCAAAAGACGAGCGATGCAAACCTACAACATGCTTGTTCGAAATAACGCCTCATCGGGTGTTCTTGGATTGCAAATCTGTCCCCTTTTCTTTCTGTTACATTACTCTAGCTTGAGGTTTTAGTGGCGCTAAAATGGAAGTTAGGGTGCTGCGAGAAAAAGGGAGAGCAGAGACAGAGGAACTACACGGAGCGAGATGCGGAGGTGATGAAGGAAGGCATGGATGGTCGCCCCTGAGAGCCCAACCTCCCAAAGACTTGGAACTCAGTTACCAGGGCCCTGAAGCCTTCCTTAGGGCCTCTCGTGGCACTTACCATAGTTTGTGGATCTCAGCACAGGAAATAAGTATCTTTACACAGGAAGACAACAACCTCACCAATGATCCGGTTACCCTGGCAACGCAAGCCCCGCCTTCCTCCAGGCTCTGCCCGAGACTCCGCCTCGAGGCTGTTTCCTCCTCATTGGCTGGGAGTAACCAGTCCCCGCCCATTCACCCAAAGACCCACCCTTTACCTCCATCACTTGGGGCAACGCGACGCCACAGGCTCCCTTCCAACATGTCCACTTCCGTTTGGTTGTTAGTGATCCGGAAGTTCAAGCCTATTCCACGGCTAGCTTCAGGTAGCTGCACTTTTTTTTTAAAAAAAGGTAGTTATCTTTCCACTTTCCACTCGCTGAACTGATTCGTGGCAGACCCTGTGTTTCTCCATTTTTCACACAGCACGGAGCGGGCCCTTCTTCAGAAGAGCATTCCGGAAACGAAACCCTGAGCAAGAGGAAGTGATTAGCGTGAGCCACCAGCTAGGTGTCCGGAAGGCCTGGGCGGGTCGGCTTCCGAATGCCGGAGCAGTTGGCGAGGTAGTCGGCTGCTGAGGGAGTGGACACTGCAGGTAAGAACATCAGAGAGGTAAATCCAGGAGCCGGCCCGTGTGCCGGACGCGGGGTGAAGAGGGCGGTCGGGGTGGGAGCTCGGCGGCCCTTGGTTTTGGGTTTCCAGATCGTTCTGGGGAGAGGCTTCTTCTGACAGGGACAGATTTGGGCTCCTACCCCGCGGGAGTGAGGCTGACAGTCTTGGTGCTTCCACTCCCTCCCCTTTTGAACCCGGCACCCAGGGTTAAACACCCTCCCACGGTATTTCTAGATAAAAGACACTCGCCATTCGGTATCGCACCTTCCCGGCGAAGTTTGTGACTTTTAACTCTCAGTTTGATCTAGGATGGAGTTTTGGGGGTGCGTTTCCAGAGCACGGATTTGCGATGGTCAGGAGGTTAGACCGGGTACTGAGTCGTATGAATACTGAGAACAGCTGTAAGGACGTGTGGTGAACAGCCACTCGGCACCTATTCTACAGACTCTAGAGAACACGAAAACTATGTCTGATTTACCGCCTGTCGAAAGGAGACAATGAAGAACGGCTTCGTTTCTAAATGTGTGGGTTATTAAAGGCAGAAACAGTTAAAATGTAACCTTTTAAATAGATGAATTCACTGAATATATTGGTATTGACTTGATTTTTTTTTTTCATATGTATACATTTCTAGGTCTTCGGTGAAAGTCTCCGAGGGTGTCTTCATTAGTTACAAAAAAAAAAAAAAAAAAAAAAAAAAAGATGACTACCCTAAAAAGTTTAGAAACCAAAGGTGAGTGTTTCTGTTTTGATAATTGGTCTGTTTTTTTGTTTCGTTTTGTTTTGTTTTGTTTTGTTTTGTTTTGTTTTGTTTTGGGGCAGGGGTGGGGAATGGATTGGAGACAGATTTCTCTGTATAACCCTGCCTATTGTGGAACTCGATGGCCTCAGACTCACAGGGATACGCTTGCTCCTCCCAAGTGCTGAGATTAGAAATGTGTGTACCAACGCCGGTTTTATTAGAAAATGGAATGTACCATGCTATGAAGGGGTGCTTTAGACAGGTGACTAAGTGTCATTGATTCTCAGGGAATCATTGTGTTTCAGGTCTCTTCATGTGTGTGGTAGGGGATCCTAAGTGGTTTTATCTTAACTACTCACATTCACAAAGATAGTGTTTCCAAAAATTGGCCACATTCTGAGGCACTGGGCCTAGATGAGAATCTGGGGGGTCCTATCGTAGCACAGTGCTTGCCCGTACAGCGGTCACTTCTGAACCCCACTTTGATTGTCTCCTCTGTAATGTTTAATATGCCATTGATCATTCTCAGTCTTTTGGAATTCTCCCATGACTTTCATGTCATTTTTATTTTGAGGATATTGTATAGCTCTTCACCACCTAATGAGGGAGCCACCTGTTGGGCTCATATTAACATTTTTAAAATTATGAACTACCTATATGCCGAGCTGCTTAATAACAGAATGTGCCGGTTCACTGTTGCGTTTCCAGCGTCGAAACAAATCCTTTAACAGTGAAGCATCTTGCTTCACCTTCAGTCTCCCCTGTTTTGTCCTTTAAATCTCTCTTTTCAAAATGTATATGTACGTTTGCCCTGTTTGTAGGTGTGGTACACACAGAGCAGAAGAGGGCCTCAGAGCCTCCAGAACTGGAGTTATGGGTGATTGAAAGCCATCTTGTGGGTGCTGAAAACCAAACCCAGGTCCTTTGAAAGAGCAGCAAGTGCTCTTAACCACTGAGCCATCTCTCCAATCCTACCCCACTCCACCCCAGTATCACTATTTTTAAACTTTCTGCCTCTTCTGCTCTCAAGTTTTAGTAACTGCTTACGTATAGAAACAGTTTGCTAATTTATAACAATATATCCCAAAGTAAACTCCTGAAGCTGTGTACATTCTGGAGACCATAAGTTCTGCCAGCAGCAGCTTTCTTAAAGGGAACGTTGTAGAGGGCAGATTTCCAGCAGCACTCTCCTGTGTAAAAGAGAGTGAAATGTGCATAGTGAGCGGAAGGGAAGGTCATGCTGATGGATGACGATGTCTAGAGTATCTGCACAGCAGCATATCACATGCTGGAGGAGCTGTAGAGCGTTAGAATGAGCAGATGGGGGCTGGTCAGGGGAACAGATGGGAACGAATGGCAAGTAAAGCGTTTAATAATGTGAAAGCAACTGATGCTCTTGGTCAAAAGCAAAAACTAAATACGGTATTGTGGTTGCTTATTAAAACTTTGCTATGAAAGGCTCCTGGCCAATGAGATTGTTTTTGTTGCTTGTAATTGAGGACTAGAGTTAAAAGCATTTTCATGTAATTTCATTTTGTCTCGACTGTCTAGTAAGGCAGGTAATACAACATTGTTCACTCTATTCTTACTATAGTGTGACTGTTGTTAATGAAAAAAGATGTTTGTGGTACGTGGACCAAGAAGACGACTGCCTATGGTTGATATTGTCAGTTGTCTGCCGCAGGAGAGAAATGGGATTGTTTAGGATAGCAGCAGAACTTTTTCTCAAACATGTGAATACCATTGCCATCATTGGAGTGGTAGATTGTTACTGCTAGGGCTCATCTCAAACCTAAAATAAAATTGTAGACTTTCCTCCATTAAAACTGTAGCTATGGCAGTTAGTTTAATAGCCAGATAGCAATGTCTATGACATTTAAATAGTTGCAAGTCCTAAATTGTTCTCTGTCAGCTACTTTATTTAACCAGTCAGAGAATACTGGCCAGCAGAGTCACATGCACAACACCATTTGGCATGTCTGAGAATGGACTGGGCAGCAACCAGATCTTGGGACCAGAAATTAGCTTTAGAATACATAGCATTAACCCCCAGCATATTTTTCTAATGTAATAGCTAAACTTTACTAGTCGATAATGGTGACGTTCAAAAGAACACTAAAGCCGGGCCTTTTGGCACAGGCTTATAATTCCAGCTACTGGAGAGCCTGACACAGGAGGATCACAAAATCAAACTCCATTTAGGCTACAGAGTCAGCTCAGGGCTAACCCGGGAAATGTACTGAGATCCTGTCTCAATATAAATTTGAAAAGAGGGCTATGGTGTAGATATGTAGTAGAATTACTTGCCGTGCCCTAGGGTCTAGCATCAATCCCACCTGCCTCCTTTCCTCACCAGAAGAATATCATCTTAAAATTTACCAAGTGACACCCCAGACTTAATTGTTTATTGTGTAGTTTATATGTGTTCCAGAGAGTGAGTCAGATAGGAATATAATGAAGCTAAGAATTATTGATGTTATGTAGAGGGGAAAGCCACGCTCTTTTTACAAGTTTTTCATTAAAGGTTTAAATGAAGTTTAGGTATGTGTTTTTTTTTTTTAATTTTTATTTTTCTTTTTAGTTACAATAGGTATGTGTTAATATAGTAATAAACTTCATTAATTAAGCACTCTCATAATTTTTTATGCCATGCACATTTCCTTGGCTGGTGAAATGAGATGGTAAAAGATATCTGTAACTAAAGTAGCTTCTAGTAGTCTGGTTTGGAAGAGGAACAGGTTATTCTGAAATACTGTAGTACTCACAGTATACTCCTAGCGCCAGTGATAGACAAAGGGAGCAGTTAATGATGGGCCTAAGGTTGTACCCCAAACAGTGGTGGAACCTAGTACTTGACTCATGAGTTTGATATTTCTCCCATGCCCAGTCATGTGACTTCAAAGTACTGCTGCTTATATAGATATGCTCGTTAGGCAGGGGGACTATTAGTTTAGTTCAGTGATGGTCTCTAAATCATGTTCTTTTCCTTCCATAACCTAAGCCAAAAATTGCTAAATTGTGGCCTTCAGACCCCTTGACAAAGAGTGCAGTCAGTTTGATGATTATAAACAGTAACTGAATCCATGTAAATCACATGTTATTCTGAATAAAAATGAAAATAAAAAAATAAAAATAAATGTTTTTTTTTTTTTCTTTCCTTTTGCTTTTTCGAGACAGAGTTCTCTGTGTAGCCTTGTCTGTCCTGGACTCACTTTGCAGACTAGGCTGGCCTGAAACTCACAGCCATCTGCCTGCCTCTGGCTCCATGAGTGCTGGTATTAAAGGCATGAGCCACCATGCCCAGCCTGTTTTTCTTATTACCTACTTAACCAAAAAATTTTGTAACCATTAAGAGAAAAAAAAAATGGTTTTGTTTTCTTTTATAAGTACCTTAAAAAATATCTTCAGTTTTACCTCATCATTCCAAAATGATATTTTGGAATATTTTCATCATATTTTCTCTTGGGCCCATTACCAGAAGTGTTTGCCAGCCCCTTCATAGACTAGTGATGTTGCCATTTCTTCACGTTCCATCAGTCTATGGGAAAGCCAGTGTGAAAAAGCCGTAAACCTTAGCTCTGTTTTGACTGGTCAGTGCATGATCACAGATGGAAAAAAAGGAATGATCCGGGGTGCTGTTTGGTTCCCCACAAGGCCTAGAGAACAAAGGTTGGTGTTTTACTTTGCTCAGCACTGTTCATAATTACAGAGCTGGTGCCAGAGGTTTCTATCTTCTCTCTTGAAGGGTATTATTATTCTTGAATGTGCCCTGCATTGCTTAGTACCTATGTAATAAAGATTTCTATGTGTGTCACAGGGGAAAATAGAATTATGGAAGGTAAGAAAATGCGAAGCCGTGGCTCTGCCTGCTCACGCACATATTAGGCAGACCTGATGAGTTGTTTCTGGTAGCTCGGAGTTCTGAAGTAAGTAGAAGAGTTTAAATAAAGTTAGAGGAAATTGGAATTGAAAGTTGGTCAAACTTCTTGGTTGGAATTTTGTTCTGTTTGAAAAGAAATACCTGTCAAATGCACATTGTTTCTTTGCCTTTGTGATTTGCCCTTGTTTGGAGTTCCTTTATATAATTTTTTTGTTATAAAGCATTATTTTAACTCCTAGGTCAAGTATGTTATGACTTGCCTAGGAATCCATTTTGACTTGAGTCATAACCAAGTATCACGGCTGCTCCTTATTGGCTGACCTCAGTGGTGTGACGTTAGGAGTGACTTTACTGTTGTTTTTGTTAATCTATAGTCAATCCACGATTCTACGTTCTTAAATACCAGAAAAAAGACAATTAACATAAAATTAGACAAACCTAACACCAAATTTTAAGAATATGAAAACAAGTCAACCATGGTGGTGTACCAGGAGGCAGAGACAGGAAGAACTCCAGATCGAGGTTGGCCTGGACTACGTGTCAGCTTTGGGACCAACTTAAATTACATAGTAAGCCCCTGTCTACATATATACTTGCATCCATGCATGCATGCACACACATACATACATACATACATACATACATATATACATACATACATACATACATACTTACATATGCATTCATGCATACTTACCAGTTCTTTACTTTTAAATCATTCGTGTACATTCTCCTTGTGAAGTTCCACCATTTTCCAGCATGCTTTCATACCAAACCACTTTCTGAAATCTTCCTTTGTTTATCACTTCAATAATTAGTCCCATGGCCATGAGGGTGTTTAAATTTGTATCTCATATTAAAATGACACGATTTTTATCCTAACGATATTTTGTGAGATAGAATAAAATCTATACCCCCCAGTTGCTGTTCTACCTTCTTCTTGATATAATTCAAGTCCTAATACATTGATACATACCTAAGAACAACAACAAAATCTGTGAAATAAAAATATCTTATGTTCCAGTGACCTAATTTTAACCCTAGCATAAGAGAATGAAAGGCATAATTATATTTTACGATATTAAATAAACTTTCCTTGGACGGTTTTTTTCCCCAGGAGCCACAATTGGTGTAAGTCTCCTCCACTCGCCCTGCCTGGTTTCTCTTTCTTCCAGGCAGCTGGTCCTTTCTCCTCTGATCTTTGCAGCTTGATTTGTCTGAGAGTGATGCTCAGCAGCCTGTATTATTTACTATTGGGATGGAGGGACCCTGTGAATCTGGTCATTTTTAAGGACATGTTGGTGCTGTTTTGAGTTGTATACCTTCTGGCCTAAGGAGCTTCCCTGTAGGAGAGAATATTTCAGTGTGGAAGGAAACTACTACAGATCAAGTCATCTTTACATTTTCTTATCATGACTTTTGGTAAATTGTCCTCGATTTCACTTCTTTGTTAGGCATTCTTACTTCGACCCCAATCCGAGGAGCAGGAGATGGAATGGAAACGGAGGAACCCCCTAAGTCTGTTGAAGTCACCCCTGGAGTCCAGCCCCTAAATCAACATGTCCTACAGAATCCTCGTAAGAAAGTTCTGTCAGACAGCCCAGGTGTTCTTCAGCTGGGAAAGATTCTTACTGAAAAAGCAGTGGAAGTTGAAGCTGTGAGAATATTTGTTCCCAAAGCTGCTATTACTCACGACATCCCCACCAAAAGCACAAAGGTTAAGTCTGTAGGACATCACAGAGAAGAACTCCACGCTCAGTCAGAGGTGATCACAGACCCAAGGAAGGAGCTCTCAGAGGTAAAGAAGGTTTTGGAAAAGCTCAAGAATTCTGAAAGGAGGCTACTTCAGGACAAAGAGGGTCTTTCAAACCAGCTCCGAGTACAAACAGAGGTAAGCACAGCCCATAACTTCGGTGAATTTTAATCCCATTGCTAGAACACTGCGTTTTCTCAGAAATGTCATTTATCATAGGTTGTCATTTCTCTAAATACTTCCTCTGTAATTTCTTATTCTGCCAGAGGGCGTCTAGGAAGAATTTATGTTGGGAAGTCATACTCAAAATGTGGTGAAAGTGGAGGTGAGAGGAGTTTTAAACAAGACCACTTCTAAGTTATATAAAAGTAGGTTACATTTATAAACTGACCCAGTAATCTTTACCGTTGACAAACTAGCAGTCCTTGTTTTAAGAATTCATCCCAAATATTTTTGCCTGATACTTGGGGGTGGTAGATGAAAATAAGTTACTGGGTCTTCATTAGAAATTAATAACAATGTATGGTGTTCAGTTGTGTTACTTTAACCTTTAAAGTTTAATAAAATTTCTTTAACCCTCCCTTGTTTCTGTTAAACTTTACACTTTTGTATTATTATTTCTCTCTCTGTGTGTGTGTGTGTGCGTGTGTGTGCGTGTGTGAAGAGAAGGCATGCACTCCATAAAAGTGGAAGTCAGAACTTTGGTGAAAGCCACATGGATTCCAAGGATTAAACTCAGCTCAGGTTGTCAGGCCTTCACAGGGAGGCCTTTTCTACCCACTAAGCCATCTCACTAGCCCAAGACTTTGCAAGATGAGAGTGTGTATAACAGTGATTAGTGGCACTCATCCAAAAAAAAAAAATCACTGAACTTAATATTTTTAATATATTTAACTAGTTTCTAAGTACAAAATGGCATATATTTATTTGTAAACATTTTAGGACATTGAGAAAGAAGGGGATAGGGAGATGGCTTAGTGGTAAGAATGGAGACCTTAGTTCAAATCCCCAGCACCCCTGTAAAAAGCCTGGCACAGCCATGGGCACACCTCTGCTGTCAGTGCTGGGTGTTGGGGTGGGGCCTAGACAGGCTTTCTGAGGCTTGCAGCCTCCCACCTTGCTATATCTCAAGGAAATGAGTCAGGTATTCTCCCTGCGCCTCCACCTGTGTGGACGCACGCAAGTGTATACACACACACACTATTTTAAAAAGATTCTTAAAAAATCAGAAAGACAGTAATAACCCTGTATATAACAGATATAACTGTGTAACTATCCATTCAGGTTCCTTTTTTTTTTCCTTAATTCTTTATCCTTTTATTAAAAATAGATTTTTTTTTTCACATAATATATCCTGATTATGGCTTTTCCTCCCTCCTTCCACTTCTTCCTCCTCTCACCTCTCATTTGTATCCACCTGTTTTCTGTCTCTCATTAGAAAAGAAAACAAACAGGCTTCTAGGGAATAATAATAAAATATACGACAAAAACTAAGACATTGAAATAGGATCCAAAGACACAGAAAGAGATTGTCCTAAATTTGTTACAATCAAGTCGCTGACATTTCTTAAGCTTGTTGTCTTGGTTGTCTTCTTCCATCCTAGGTAAACCGTGAGTTAAAAAAGTTGCTGGTGGCTTCTGTTGGAGATGACCCGCAGTATCATTTTGAACGCCTAGCCCGGGAGAAAAACCAACTCATTTTAGAAAACGAAGCGCTAGGTCGAAACACAGCTCAGCTTTCCGAACAGCTGGAACGGATGTCAATACAATGCGATGTGTGGAGAAGCAAATTCCTTGCAAGCAGGTATTTTTCTACTGTAAATGGTATATTCTTCCCTTTTGTTTATCTGTCACCTTTTCCTTTTTGACTCAGAATGCTAAGTAATAGTGAAAGTTTCTGACTTAAGATTGTCAGAGTATTTCATAGATTTTTTAATGTTCAGTTCCCCACTCTGGGAGCCATACAGTCTCTCAGAGAGGTGATGCATTTTTCATTCTGAAAATCACTGTTACTACGGTCAACGAAGCACAACTGTAAAATGAAACATGGAGATATTGCAGTCACAAAAGGCAAACGTAGGCCCTTCACCCCCTCCCGAGAGAACATCCTCATTGCACTTCCTAGGACAGTATTCTCCGCCCAGTGTGCTCTGTTCTCATAGCTGTTCTATCCACGTGAAGAGCTTTCGACCTCCTCCTCCCTGTATGTAAACAGAAACCCGGGTCATTTCATGGCATATCTGAGGAGGCAAACTCTGACCCATAAAAGCCACAGGGCTATAGTCCAGGCCTCTGAACACACTGGTCCTTGGGAGACCCTGCCGTCTATCTTGGCTCCTTACCCGTTACTCCACCCGGCTTTTGAACTAATAGGAAGCTGTTTTAGATGCTGTCTGTCTTAGGTTTCTATCACTGTGAAGGAACAATATGACTAAAAGCAACTTGGGGAGGAAAGGGCTTGTTTCAGCTTAAAACACTTAGGGCACACTCCACCTCTGGTCAAGGCAGGGACTCAAGACGCCGTGGATGTATGCTGCCTATTGACTTGTTCCTCATGGCTTTCTCAACCTGTTCTTTATATCCTCAGGACCACCTGCCCAGAGGTGGCATGACCCACAGTGTGCTGGGCCTTCCCACATCAGTCATCAATCAAGAAAATGCCCTCACAGGCTTTTATACAGGCTAGTCTCAGGGAAGCATCTTCTCAGTTGTGGTTCCCTCTTCCGGGATAACTCATGTCAGGCTGAGAGTAAACTACCCAGGACTCAGTCTGTGCAGCAGTAGACCTTCAGACCTTCACATGTTCAGTAACTGCTAACGTAAAACAAATCATCTGGAGATTCCTCACAAACCACCAGAGGTCTCCAACCTATACGTTAAGAACCTCTGATTGTGAATAAACTGTAAAATAACATTTCTTCATGTATTATGTCTGTGAGATTTCTAGTAGTTAAATACTTGTGAGGTCCTTCATTTCTCTTCTGGAGAAAAGAAAAAAGCAAGCTGTAGAAAATTTTGTAAGAGATTTTTCTTCTAGTAAACATACTCCATATTTTTCACATGTTCATGTTGAAATACACTCACATTCCTTTTCAGAAACATAAGAGACATTATTGTCTATATATAAAAGGAGAATGAGCCTGGTTGGCAGTGGGGCTGACTACTTTATATTATAGAAAGTTTTCAGTATTTTTCTGAGAGAAAGGTATATTTAGTAGTGAGAAAAATAATTTCTTTTTCTTTCCCTTTCAGTTTTTTATAGTTGGAAGTGTTTACTCAGTAATTTTAAAAGGATAAATTTAGAGTAGCATTGGTGCAAATTCAAGTCACTGTTTATCTTTTTCAGGGTAATGGCAGATGAATTAACAAACTTCAGAGTAGTTTTACAGCGTCAGAACCGAGATGCCCACAGCGCGCTACAGGATCTCCTGAGTGAACGGGAGCAGTTTCGTCAGGAAATGATCTCTACCCAGAAGTAAGGCGCTTGTTCACATGCTGAACTCTTTGTCATCTCCTGCAGGTTTTGCTGTTGTTTGAGTGTTTGAGAGTGGACGCGTTTGTTAACATGCCAACAATATACCCTTAAGTCACACTTTGGAAGGAAGGATCCCTAAAAGCAGAAAGGATAGCGCTGTGTCTTACATTCCTAATAGGAAATATAATTATTAGATCTGTTAGTGAGGGTGGTTCTGCATTTAAAAGTAGTTCCTGGTTACGGCAGTGGTAGCTTTGTGTCGTTTTGGTAGAAGTCAATTGTCTTTGTTAGGGTTTTATTGCTCTGATGAGACACCATGACCAAGGCAACTCTTATGAAGGAAAATATTTAATTGGGACTGGCTTACAGTTTCAGAGTTTTAGTCCCTTATCCTCACGGGGAGAAGCATGACAGCAGTGCAGGCAGACATGGTACTTAAGGACAGGCATGGGAGAGCTGGGGAGCTGATCCAGCAGTTAACAGATGTACTATGCTTACAGAGGACCAGAGTCTAGCTCTCAGCACCATGTCGGGCAGCTTATCACCAGGATATCTGACACCCTCTTCTGGCCTCTGTGGGAACCTGCCCTCATGTACACACACCTGACATACACATAAATAATTTTAAAACAAATTAAATTATAAAAAATAACATATATAAGTTAACTAGCCATAATCCATTAAAGCAATTGAACTTGTAGTTAAAAACCAACATGTGAAGAAAATTCTAGCCTAGGTGGATCTGCTGAATGCTAATAAATATCTAAGGAAGAAAGAAGAACAGTTGTACATGAGTTCTTCTAGAGCATAGAAGGAAAGGGATCGTTTGTGGGAGGAGCATTATGATAACAAACTAGAGACATAAGCAAAAACCTATAGATTTTTATCTTAATGAACATAGATGTAAAAATCCTTAATAAAATGTTAGTGAATCAAATCCAACAATAAAGGAAATAGTTGATGCATTATGACCAAGTAGAGTTAACTCCAGATATTGGAGATTGATTTAGCATCCAGACAGCAACAAATGCTAAAACTCTGAAATACACAGATATCTGTAATTTCTATACCTAAATATGATTACATTAAACTGTACCACTTGTTTCATGATTTCCAGGTAACAACCTAGTAGATTAGCAAGTATCTTCTGTCCTATAACCTACGTGACCAGATGTCTTGAGTCTTGAACTCTGAGCAAAGATATTAAATGACTTCTGAAGTATGCCGCTCACTGATTTCCTCTTACTGGTTCCTATATCTTGTCTTTTTTGTCAGTGTTCACTGTTCTTTTGTGTTCTGTGCAGATTTTTGGAAGAACTCTTAGTCTCCTTACAATGGGGAAGAGAGCAAACATACTCCCCTAACATGCAGCCCCACAGCACAGCAGAACTTGTACTCGCGAACCACAGGTTGGCAGAAGCAGTACATTCTCATCTTCTGGGGAATGTTGGCATTAGCCATCAAAAGAAGAGTCCAGCAACGGCAGAATTCTGCAATACCCCAGCTGAGAAAATGGCTGAAAAGGTACCGTTTTCTCTTCCGTGAGCTATGGATTATGTTGTAGGAGCTATGAGATTTCACTGACTCCTTACTGAAAGCTATATGTTATGCTTGGCATTGGGAGCTTTGAAATGTAGAACCTAAAATTGTTTTTTGTGTTAATAAGCTTGTGATCTTCTTACTCTGACCCATAAATTTCCTGATGTCACTGCTCTATTCTAAGTAGAAAAATCTAATAGTTTTGAAAGCTGTTAGCTAACGTAATTTCTTAATTCATTTTCTTATAAAAAGCACTGTGTAGAAATTTTAACTTAGTAAATTATAGGTCACTTCTGAGCTAGAAGACTTTTTAATTCCCACATACAGATGGGACAACTCTGTACTACAGAGTCAAGTAGACCAAGTACTTACAGGCCTTGATGAACTCAAGGCCTAAGTAGGCGGCCTATCAACTGCCAAGTCTGCCTCTGTACCCAACTCCTGTAATCCCATTAGGGCCTTGCTACTAACTAGAGCTCTTCTGCTTCTAAAATCGCAAATACTACTAGGTGTGACCTGTGATCACAACCTTTTTCCGGCTCTCATTTGTTTATTGTGATTACCCTTGTTTTTCTCCCATTGAGCACATCATTATTTTTAATTCCCTTGAGCCCCCATCTTTGCCCCCATCTCATTAGCTTGCTTTCCTAGCTTTTCTCTTCCTCTACCTTTGCTAGTTTTCATTCCTAAGCACCTATCCCATATCCTTTGCCCCAGCTACCCAGAATCCAAATTTTATGTCCATTTAGCTATTTATCTTCTTGTGGCACTCTTTAAGTGACTACTTCCTGTTGAGCATGTAGCTTAGATTCCTAATTCATAGAAGAAGAAGAGGACACAAGGATGAGCCAGCTGAACTGAGGCCTCTTTTCCTACGTGAATTCTATATATTTCTCTCCCAGGAAAATGTGTCCCTTACCTTCTCCAAAGGATGGTTCCTTTCTAAGCTCATCAAGCTCTCTCAGCACTTAGCCCTTCTTTCTCTATTTGCTCTTTCCTTTTTACGTTTAAATATGTCCAGATAGCTTTGCTATCTAAAAGCAAAGCTCTCCACTTTAGCAGTTCTCTCTATAAAGGGCCTTATCACCCTCCCTTCACAGCTAGCAATCTCAGAAAATGCATACGTATTTGTGCTGACTTACTCAGATTCCTTAACTCCTGCCTCTAGGCCTTCCATCCCCTATTGTCAGAGAGTGCTCTTACAAATGTCAGTACAATCAACATCAAGTAGCTCCCGCTCCTGACTCCCTCACTGAATTCTTTCCTAGAGCATAGAAGGCATATCGTAATCTTTCCACCCCCACCAAGGGTCACTTCGTAAGTTTCACTTCCTCTTCTAGCAGTGTTACTCACTTTTCATTCCACAGATAAACCATTTTTCTTACATATCTTTCTATGCATGCTTTCCACCTGTCTCAACTATTTACCTGTCTGCTACCTTTCTTATTGTCCAACCTTTGTACCACCTGAATCTTTCTGGTAACTCTAGGTGTACAATCTCCAAACTTTCAGTGAACTTTGTATGCTTATCTGCTATAGCCCTTGTATCATGATGTTGTATGATTCTCTCTCTAAACTCTCTTAAAGGCTGGAGAATATGCCTTACTAGCTTTCCTCATGAGCTACTGTGTTGTTGCATGTTGTAGGTGCTCAGCTATTTTTTAAAAGGATCACTACCCAAAAGTAAAATACTCAAACCTTGTTTGTTCTTTCCTACTACTTCTTTGTTGGGAAGTTATACCATAGTGTAGTCAGTTGCTGCCAGTATCTTTGAGTGTAGTTGGTGTTTCCATCTTTGATGAAACACTTCCCTTGCCTTGGTTTCTATGACTAACCTCCACTTTTCCTGTCTTCTCTGCTTCACTGTGCAATGTTGGCTGTACTCCAGGCCTGGTCTAGATCTGCCTGTTCTTCTGCTTCTTTACCTCGCCACATTCCCCCATGCAACAAGACTGACACCCCTGTCTCCAGCACACTGCTTCAGGAGCTGTCCTTTCAAAGATAAATGTGGTAACTTAGTCTGCTCATCCTCCATCTGCTTTAGCATCCCCCTATTTCCATCCTCCATGCTGTCTCACAGGATCTCTGCAAGGCTTGGAATCTATCCCTGTCACCTTCTGGCTAAAATCTACAAGACTTTCTGCCATATCTCAGTCTCCTATGAATTCCCTGAGCATTTTATATTTTTCTTTAAAGAACCATAATGTCATAGCATATGCCACACTTGGAAACTATTCTTTTCCCGTCAAGGTTTTCAAGCAACATTATTCTATCTTTGCTTGTCATCTAACATTTAACTAAGTTCCATAAAAATAAAAGCTCTGAAAACTGAATTTTAAAAGTAGAGTGTAATTAGCAAAGTCTTAGAGTAGCATGGTAGCTCTTACATGATGCCAAGATGCTTTAAATGGGAGACATGGCTCCTTGGATATTGTTAATTCAGAAGAGGAAAAAGTCTGGAGGCTGCATGAGGAGCAGGGAAGCAAGCCCAAGAGCCTTTGAATAAGCCCAGCTGTGTAGGAAAGGGTCATAGACCTTGCCTTATCTCTGTCAGAGTTGCTTACCAGTTTCAGTGCCACCTCCTTTAAAATATAACTCTGCTTGTGTTATAATTAGCTTGAGAATTTCAACATGAGAAATAAGAGCTGTAAACCAAAAAGGTTATTCTTATCCTAGTTGAACTTTTTTTTTCAACCCAAGACTTCCTGCGCTCTGAGTCTCAGTAGAGGAAATAGGAGAAGCCAGGACCAAGGAAGAATTGGGGAAACAAAGTATTGTGAACACAGTTGTTAGTAGAAAATATTATATATAATTTAAAAAGAGAGAAATGAAGGGCCATTTTACCATAAATAAAAAACAGCATTTGTACCGAAGACTGGGGATCAAATCCTTATTCTAAACAAGTGAATGAAAGGGAAAAGAGAGTCAGTGAGTGCTTTTCAGCGAAAACGGAAAATTGATATCATATGAAATAGAACTCATGAAACTTCATTTTTTTGTTTTTATAGATCCTTTTATAGATCTCTGTAAAAGAGTATTAGTTTAAAATTAAAAATATAATGTCATAATTAGGCATAACTGCTGAATGTATAGCATTTTGAAAGAAGGATAAATTCAAATTAATTCAGTTGTTATTTTTTATGATATCTCCATAAAACAAAATGAAATTTTATAGGTAGTTATGTATCAATGAAACCCAAGGCTGTAAAGTGCATGTTATGTACATCTGACATGACCTTTCATTTGTCTTAGGTTCTACGTATTTTGGATCCAGTTACCTGTACAGAAAGCTCACCAGACAACCCATTTGCTGAATCTTCATCAAATACATTACTCACTACAAAGAAAAATATTGGACGTTTCCATCCCTATACCAGATATGAAAATATAACTTTCAATTGCTGCAATCATTGCCAGGGAGAACTCATTGCTCTTTAATGCATGCTATTGGAGGCATGCTTAGTACCCCACAGTCATTATTTGGTACCTGGGGTTCTCATGCTTGAAATAAAATCAGTTCATCTTTATATAATATATATTTATGAAGATATTTTATGTACTGGATTCCAGATTATTTTTTCTTAATAAGTATCTCGGAATAAGAAAAGGTAAAGCTATGTAGATATGTTTAAAGTACAAAAAACTTCCCATTTAGTACATAGTATTTGTGGTAAAAAACTAAAAAGACTTTATAACTTTCTTTTAGGCCCTAAGTTATTATTTTGTGTTATGTATTTTATAGAAACTATAAACAGGTTTCATTTCGGTGCTTAAAACAAAAACAGGGAAACTATAACTGTAAAATGGATGTGGCCACATCCGTCCCATTCCTTTTGTCTAGGCTGCTTTCCTGTACAGCAGCAGAGTCCAATGTGTGGCTAGCAAGGCCCATTCTTTTAAAGAGCGTGTTTTCTAGTGCAATATCTGGGGTACAGAAAAAAGGGATGTGCGTTCCCTTTATGGTCACATTGGGGGTATAAAACAGGCCTTCAGAAACGCTGGGGTAAGGGATGAATCTTTCTATACAAATGTTAGAAAAATAAAAAAGTATTTTAGAGCCACAAAAATACTTCAGCAAGTGTTCCAGGCTGTTTGTTTTTGCAAAGTGTTCTATCCTCCACATGGTTACAATTTGAAAACAAAAAGGAAACAGGTTCATAATTACCAACATTGACATGTACAGCATGATGGGAATATCTATGTAGTTTGATAATATAATGATGGAAAATGAGTCTCTAGAAAAAAATGTAATCCATCAGTTTATGTATATTATAAAATATATTATTATATAAGGTATCATAGGATGCCCATTATTTACCTTTAAATATTCACAAAAATCTGCCATCAAAAAATATACCAAATTTTACAAATTAGTTGGAGCAATGCCTAGCAGAGAACTCTTCAAAAGGCAAATCTGGTCAAATTAAAGTATTCTTCTATGTCAAAACCTATTTTTTGTCTGACTCATCTGAGCCATTTTTATAGCTTTAAGTGGCAATAAACTTCTCTATTTCCTTTTGGTTATTTCTTTTTCCTTCCATGATAACATACTTCGGCTTCAATCTTCATGTGGCTTTTACTGTTTACAGCTGGTTTGTTGCCTTTTTCTTTCTGTTTGCAAAATAGAAGAAAACAAATTTTCATGACATCAGATTTGACTGTGATTTCTTGGATATAACAAGAAAAGCACAAGAAATGAAAAATAAATTTCACCAAAATTTAAAACATTCATACATTGAGGTACATGGTAGCTCTAAGAATGGGATGAAAACAACAAAAACCAAATTACACATCTGAGAAATGGTCAGAAGATACAAAGAACTCCAACTCAACAACCAAAAAAGCTACCCAGTAAGTGGGCAGAGGCTGGAGGGATGCCTCTGTCTGTGGAATACTGCATGAGAGCTCAAGTCCAGATGCCCAGCACTCACCTGACACACTGGGGCTCAATGGAACCCCAGCCAGCACACTGAGCAGAGACAGGAGGATGGTGTTCCCGGGACCAGTCTCTAGCTGAGCTGATGAGCTCCGGGTTAAGTGAGAGATCCTGTGTCAAGCAATGAAGTGCAGAGTGATAAGACACCCAGTACCAAAGCCTGTGTCCTTTACAGGCATGCATGCCCTCACCTGTACGTGTGCCACACACGCTTGCAAAAATGAACAAATGTTTAGTTACCTAAACTATACATACAGATTTGTATATACATATACGTAAGCATATCAGAAGATTGTCGGTATCGTTAATGAGCAAAATACAGTCATTATCATTGTCATGTAGGTCAGATGACTAGTGACAAAATAGGATGGCTGTTAACAGTAAAACAGCAACTGTAGGCAAGTCTGAAGAAATCTGGAACTGCTGGGCTCTACCAGGAGGAATGTGATTATGATGCAGCTGCCAGGAAAGACTGGAAGTTCCTAAAAGCAGACAAAAACCAGGGGGCTGTGCTGACTGGCCCATCATTCTAGGTGAATAACCAAGAAAACTTGAGACAGAGGCTGTCATAGACACTTGTATAACCAGTTTTTCTAGCAGTATTGTTCATAGTTGCCAAAAGTTAAATATAATCATAATCAGTGGTTAGGTCAATAAAATCATCTCTGTGATAAGGAATGCGTTCAACCTCTAAAATAAATACACAGTTGATGCATGCTACAATTTAGGTAATTGTTACATGAAGTAGGTTAAAAGCAAAAGGTCAAATACTGCCCTGGAGAAGGGCAGGAAGGGGTGTTTAAAAAATTAAACAATATTCATATCTTTTCAATAATAAGTGAGTAGGAACTGTTACAAAGTGACTACTGTTGGGCGGCTATTTCTCTTTCTGATAAAAAAAAATGGAAAAAAGTTCATAACATTGGAAGAGGGTGTGGTCAAGGGAGATTCAGGATGAGCTGAAGGGCTTAGGTGAGAAGTAGATACCATCAGAACACATTGTACATAGGTATGAACTTCTCCGTGGATAAGTAAAAACAGAAAATTTAAGCAGCTGAATGACCTAAACATTTCTCCAAAAGAAGATTCATAAATGGCCAAAAATCACACATGGCTGGCCATTAAGAACATGGCAAATCAGTTAAGTATCTATGAGACTACGTAGAAATTGGGATCTCCTTGACTGAAATTTTCAAATGGTGTGTCTGCTGTGGGGAACACTGACGAACTATAAGTAGTCTACACCCTGCATTCCTGTCCGCAGCGTATGTCCAAGATAACACATACTTGCATACTTGTACACATAGGATGTTCACAAAGCAGCACTACTCACCACACCCAAAAGATAGAAATGCCCCAAGTGAATGAGCATATAAACAAAATGCCACACGTGTTACCCACATGTCTCTTTTTGTAAGCAGGAGTTAGAAACCGATGCATGCTGTGTTGTGGGTGGCTTCCAGAGCACTAAGCGAGGTGGGAAAAGCCACATAAAAGATGTTTTCACAACAGACGTATGAAGGGTCTGGAGTGAGCAAAGTCGTAGACACAGTGTCTTCTCAGAGAAAGCATTGGTGCGGGGGAGTGGCTGGTAGTGGGGACGGCCTACTGGGAGTGAGAGAAGCATTTTGGTGCGTCAGAAAGCTGGGGCGGTATAATTTATGAATAGGCTACATGCTGCTGGACTAGAGTTTTAAAGAATTTTATGTGACGTTCACCTCAGTAGAATTAGAGGAAGAAAAGTTTAGAGCCACCAAATTTTTTGTGTTATTTTCCCAGCTATCCTACCTTACTTCTATCAGACACATATTAGTGTTTTTAGCATTTGGAAATACTACTTCACGTTCCCATTCTAATACCCTTCTTTTGCTTGCTCCCAAACCTAACCCTAAGGTTTTCCCCCATTTCTTTCTAAAGCCAAATATTTCATTTCCTTAAAAATTAAGTAAAATATTTACTCCAGTTGGGGACAGTAGGACTGTGCATTTTCACAAATATCTTTACCCACGAGAGTAAGTGTTCATTTGGGCACCATGTATATTCTGCATTCAGTTTTGCTTCTAAACCATATAGCAATCCTATATTAACTTGCATAATATGCACTTGGATGTCAAAACCAACTGTAATGAAATATAAGACTGCTTGATATGCTACAAAAGTTCAGACAGGCACAGGCACAGTGGTCTGCCCAGACCTGTAACCCCAGCACTTGGCGCAGGGGCAGGATTGTTCAAGTCAACCTAGGTTACATAGAAAGACCTCATATCACACACACACACAAAACTAATCAAGTAGACAAAGGACTAACCCATTCTCTCTGCACTTTCCAATTCTTGTAAAATACACACTAGAGTTTATGTGAATGTGAACTCATATGTATGATATATATATGATAATATAATATTAGACAAATGGAGGTCATAGGATTGTATTGTATAAAGCATTTACAATGATAATTTTAAAACCTGCCTAAAACTATCAGCATTTTTATGCACAAAATAGAATTAACTGTAGAAAAGATATTTTTGTTATTTTTCTATGGTATTCACGAATGATATTTGTCCTACACTGTAAATTTAGGTCACCACCATTAAAATTTAACCTTGACAAATAGAATTTTGTATGAAGTTCTGATAGAGACTTAAGTCATTCTTTAAGCCTTATGCAATGTTCTATTGAAAGATTTAAATGTTTATTACATTTATTTTGCAGTGGGGATGTGGGGTGTGCATTACACTGTGTGTGTGGAGGTCAGATGTCAAGTTGTGGGAGCTCGTTCTTTCCGTCATGTGAAGCGCAGACTCTGAACTTAGGTCATCAGATTTGGTGGCAACTGCCTTTACCCACAGCCATCTACTGCCCCTCTGTTGCAATATTTTAAGTGATCATGGAAACTATTAAAAGAAATGAATGCCTTAATTGGTAGAAATGTTAACAAAATAACTCAGAGGTACTACACAGCATTCCTTCATGGTTCAGTTTGCTACACGACTACAAAGAAGACACGATACATTCAACTCTGTCAGAGACGTATATTTTGTGTTTGTGTGAAAACAATTATAAATTCACTGCCAGTATCACCACAAGGCAAATCCCACTCCCATAATTTAGAGTATTATCGTGACACAGGGCCCATGGGAAATGACATCCAAAATTTTGGTGACATCAGCTTCAACACAGCTTCAGTTGTAGTGGTCGGTAAAGCGGAAAGACTTGGCTTCGGGCATGCTGTACATGTTGTTCTGCAGTTGTTTGGAACGCCGTGCTTCCAGTCGGAGCTGCCTGGCTCTCTCTTTGACAGCCTGTTGCTCTGCTATTTTCTCTATCTGTTTCCTTCTGAGCCATCTATGGAAAGGGCATGATCAGATTGGTGAATATCATATAATAAGATGTAGGCATAAGGTTAATAGGTAATTCAAATGCTGATTTCTGTACCCCCATGTCTGGCTATAAACCTTGTTCTGAGACTCTCCTGTCTCAATGTTGTGTAAACACTGCTCCCCAATTGTCCCTTGATATGCAAATAAGGCAGCTTACAGCCAATCGCTGAGCAGGGGAGAGAATAGGGCTGGACTTCCTGACAGCCAGGGGAGGAGGAAGTAGGGTATGTCACCCATGGGAGACATCCTAGAGCCATCAGGAGAAGGCGCTGGAGGAGGAAAGCTAAAAAATACAAGTATCTGTGGGATGTACACTGGGAGAAAGGCAAATTAGCTTAGAGAGTTAAGAATAGAATTAAAATTGTTCAATTCTTGTATTGTGAAGCTTATTACTAAACAAATAAAAGAGTCTCAATTATTTGTTTGATAGCCAGGTAAAGAGAAAAACTGAGAAACAAACACAGTTTTATAAAAGTAACTTTAACAATAAGCTTCTCACTTATAAACATAGAAAATTAACATTTTGGTGGTGAAATGGGACTGAATAGGTTTGTTGGGTTTTTTTTGTTTTGTTTTTTAAAGAATTAGCTAAACATTTTCAGGCTTACTTCCCAGGCTCATTCAGAAAAGCAGTTTATACTTGGCATTAAATGCTTGAAATTAGGTTTTCTTTGTGATGAAAATGACAACTTGCTTGGTTTGGTAGTATCTAACTGGCACGTGTTAGAAGTCTCATTTTTTTTCTAAAATATTCTTCTAAGTAAATAACTCTGCTATATGCCAAGTAACTTATTCGTTGGAATTAGCATGTAAAACATTAGTTCAGTTAAAACACTAGCAAGATGCCAAACTGCTGCCTCTCTCTTCTTAGGGGGAAACTCCAGAGCCTGAGCCTCTCAGTGGCAGCCCTTCCGTAGAATACAAAAGAAACCTAACCATGAAAGGGGGTAAAGGGAAGTAAGCATCAAAAGAAATAAAGGAAGAGTCCTTGTTAGTCAAAACAACATAAGAACTAACTTTATACATACCCATGCGGTATGTAAGTGTGTATGGGATAAATATCCAGAAATAAACCCAAACAACTATTAGAATAATAAAAAAAATCATATTTGGGGGATCATGAATTTCATTTTACTTTAAGAAAATTAATTACCTGTTAGAAGACTTTAGAAACAATATGCTCACAATGTATATTTTT